ATTAACAGCAGCTGTAAAAAACCTTTACTTTTCTGTGTATTTACTTTCTGCTGCTTATGTGGATAAATGCGATCAAGCTCGGAAAGTGTAAAGGGACAATCAATATTCAGGTACTTAATGTAAAGGCTTTGTAGCTTTGTCCTTTATCCATAGTGGTTAATTATTTTATCCTTCTTGGGGCAAAATAGTTGATTTAAAGACGCTGAGCAATTTTTTCTGTGTATCGCAAAATAACTTCATTTCCGGTACAGATGTCGATTCTGTTGATGACGACGAGTTTGTTTTGTACTCTAACAGGATATTTATTCTTCACTATTTATCTCTGGAACGTATAGTCTGTTATTCGATCCGTCTAGTTTCTTTAGGTTCTGTGAAATGACCGAAACATGAACTCTGCTATGAACTTTCTTAGTGGTTTCACAACAAAGGAAACAGCACTTCTGTAAAACTGATCAAAATTTATTTTCTCTCTATAAACATAACTACAATATTGTGTGAACTCCTGACGAGAATCAATAACAATTAACTTGTTAAAATGTCCAAATGCTTAGAGAAACACATCAAGATTTAGTGGTGAGATCTTCGGACTTCAGAATGGAAAAATCAGCATGGGAGCGTCCACTTGTCAGAGCTTCAGGTTGTCACTCTCTTTGAATGTGATCCGAAACCAGCAATGACATCACGCTGTCCCAATTACTTAGTTAAATTCAATGTGGAAAATGGTCGCTGACGGGTGATCTCATCCCGTATAGTGCAATAAGAGACGAATTGTCTAATTGCGAAGGAAATGTTCTCCGAGGAAACCGAATTGTTGTGCTACAGTCGTTACGGAAAAAAAATTCTGAAATTAGCATACGAGGCCCATCAGGGAATCGTCAAGACTAAACAATTTCTTTGAACTCGTTTTTTTGGCCTGGCATGGATGATGCAACAGAGACTATGGTGAAGAATTGTCAAGCGAGTGTAGTTAATCAGCCTCTTGATAAGTACATGCTGCTTCAACCAGCACCTTAACCTCATCATCCTTGGGTAAAAGGTTTACTGGATCTTGTAGGTCCAATCATGGAAAATCCACTTTGACTTATATCAATTAATATTCATCCTATCTGGAAGGTACGTGTTTTTCCGTACTATGCGCGAAGCAACGAAAAATTAAAGGAGAACTTTCGAGAAGCCATCAGCGAAGGTAAATCCTGGCAAATGGAGTCGCCTAAAAATTCATGCGCTACAGAGCAAATCGGCTTCATACTAGTGGAAGACCGCCTAGTATGCTTTTGTTCAATCGCGAACTTCGAACAAAAAAGCATCATCGACACTCTATCGCGAACATTGGTCAAAATCCAATTTGTAGCAAACGCGTTCGAAGGCATATCACGATAGAAGGAAACATGCAGAACCGCATTATTTTAAAATTGGCGATCTCGTACTTTGTGCCAACAAGAAACCAGACGAACTAGATTTGAATTTCTCTACGGCCGAGCTCGTAATTATTAAGACCAAAGCAAGAGACACTTTTAGTTTAGTCAATGTGGACACGGGTACCACTTTGAGACGCGATGCGAAGTTCCTCAAACATGCATCCAGTCAGCATATTGGTAACGACATTGATGTAGACATTAGTGCTAAAACTGAGGAGTCTATTGACCATTCAGTGAAAAGAAATGACCCTATCAAAAGTACCAAGCCCTCTAGTAAGGATCCGGAATATTTCTCGGATTAGAAAGTTTTTGTCAGTTAGTAGTACTAAGGCGTTAGTACACGCCTTCGTCACATGCAGATTAGACAACTGTAACTCTCTGTTATATGGTCTTCCGAAACATTTAGTTCATAGATTGCAATTTGCCCAGAATTGTGCGGCACGGCTGATCTTATGTGGTCGTAAGCATGACCACGTTACTCCTTTACTGAGGGAACTGCACTGGCTTCCCGTGGAGCTGAGGATTATTTTTAAAATGTTATTTTTTACTTTTAAAACTTTAAATAATCTATGCCCAAGTTATATCAGTGACTTGTTAGAAACTTATAAGCCTAATAGGTCTTTACGATCATCGAGTAGGAACTTGTTAGTGATTCCTCGCTCCAAGTTGAAATCTTATGGCGATCGCACCTTTTCTGTCTCTGCACCTAAGTGTGGAATGACATTCCTGAAACCATAAAATGTATTGTAGATCTTAACGCTTTTTAAACGTAATCTTAAAATTTATCTTTTTAAGGGTTATTTTATGAATGAATACGTTTGATTATTATTTTTATTTTTTACGTCAACCACTATTCGTCAAAGTTTAAAAATTTCTAGTCGAAGTTCCTTTCGAAAATGGCGCGTTTCGAGTTCGACACCATTGTTTTCAGCCCACGCTTGAAGAACAATGGCTGTTAAAACTAAACAATAGCCTATTGAGAAAATTGAGAGGTTTAACGTAAATTTTTACTTCTTAACGTATTGTAATTTTTTTTCGAGGCTTGTTGTAATTTAACAGCGACTGTATTGTGGTTTTTAGATGATGAACATCAAAAAGCCCTACTGGGGAGTGTTGATAAATTTTATATTGTATTGTATTGTAACTTAAAAAATTGACAATTTTTACCAGTAAATTCTTCTGCGCTCCTCCTCCTTCTTGAGACTCTCTCCATTTCCCATGCCCTTAGCCAGTTGATGACTCGCGCTGGGTTGGCGCGAAAATTATTCCTGTTGTCGTTTTCTTTCTTTTCACTTTCTTTTAATGACGGCGGCTTTTAGAGTCCTGCAATTAGTCGTTACTTACACATACATAACGGGGAGTGATAAGCTCGCAATAGAGTGCAGAGTTTTGTTTTCGAGATTTTAAAGATTTAAGAAGTGGGTACTAAAAGAAAGAAAGGAAATAGGAGAAAGGAAAAAAGAAAGAGGGAAGAGGAAAATGAAAGAAAGAGAGAAAAAAGATAAGGGAAAGGTAAAAAAACTGCTCAGTTATTTTCTTTGGACAAGGAAGAGAAACCGAGTTCCTGACGTACCTGACAATACCTAAAAGTAACATGTGGCTCGAACAATCGAGATTCAAGGTCACGTTTATGCATGAAATACCACGCATAACTACATCATTAACAGTTACGAAACTGAAACTCGAAACTGAAAGCCACGCCGACGAACAGACTTTTAGAATAACGCGAGATGCTGGGTTTACCTTTTTGGTCATAAGCTATAACTTGGAGTGTAGAGAGTCATCTGCCTTTTTTTTCACGCAAGTAACTTTGTTTCTCAGCAACTTAAGAGTGAAGTAAATCCTGCATTCACGCCAAGAGATCTCAGCTGAGATGGCGTCGTCAGAAAATGAGACTATCTCTTTGGATCATATCCATCCAAAACCTGCAAATATTGGAGAACAACTCTCCATTACGGGAAGCAGAGATCTATTGACAGCTGCCAATCGTTCTTCTAGATCCCGCCGAAGAGTTATGGTCATTCTTGTTGCTATTGCAGTAGCAATTTCTGCAATCATCGCGGCAGTGTTCATTGGAAAATACGTTTCGGAATACCTTAGTGATGATAACAGGAAAGGTAAGTATAAGATGTCACTCAATTTTTGCTATTTATTCAGAAGTCAAGAATAAAAACAACATATTTGAACAAAAGATAGAAGTTGGTCGAAATTTCAGCACATCAATATGTCATCGTCGATGTCCTAGTAGAAGAAAGCAATCATCTTATTTTTACATAAAGCTAAAAGCTAGCGGACAAAATTAATCAATAGATATATAGACAAGACGATAAAGTAAGTATTCAGTTTGATCATGTAAATGGTAAGCATTAAAGAAGGAAACATGTAGGAGCACTTTCGTCCGCGTTGTCCTAACCCCGCCAGATTGATTTTTTTAAAATTCGATATCAAAAGCTTCGTAAATTCAAAAATACCAATTCTACAAAAAAGTCATGAAGCTGGCGTTTTTGTTCTCTCGTCGATGTTAGGGTAAGAGCGATAAGTTTTAAATGTGCTTTGGAAGTCAAAGAGGCAAGTGATCCGTTGACAGAACATGCACGAGCATATAAGTAGTTGCGAGGCTACTTAAGAGCATTCCAGACTTAAGACTTAAGACTTAAGAGCATTCCAGCGGTAAAATTTCATTTGTACAGTGTTATCTGCCTGTTTGAATTCCCTAGTGGGTACCCAAGCGTGCGTTCCTACAACAGTGAAGTAGGCTCCTGAATACAACCAAAAGTTACAAAATGGCCAATAATGAGCAGATAACCATTGTTCCAGTTGTTTTCTTAACACCTAGTTTCATCAGTTAGCTTTAGATTAGCAATAAACTAGTCCTTTTATGGAACCTGGGAAAAAATCTAATCATTCCAGGCATTTTTAAAGGAATCATGTACAGTTCAATTTTGGGATCATTTGCGATCCGGATTAATTTTTAACAAAAACTTTTTTAAAACTTTTTCTTAAATAATAAACAGCACTGCATGAAATGAGATGCTAAAAACTTGCCTCATTCTCCTACGCGTCCTATTTGACAACAGCAGGAGTTTATACAAGTAGGCAAATAAGTTTGCTCAGTGAAGTGAAATGAAGCAAAAGCATGACAAAAGTGTTCTACATGCGTGACATTTTGAAGACGTTACATATAAGATTACGCGTTGTGTATGGTGGTCAAAGATTAAGAACTAAATCTACGAGCTGAGTTCTTGTAAGTTTTGCACACGAATTTCGGTTCTTGCGTCCATGCTATTTTGATGTAGAAGGCAGAAATAGCAGCTCTAATTTCACTTTAATGGCGTCTTTCAATCGTAGTGTGTCACGATGACAAATGGTGGATGATGGCAAGTTCACTAGATTAATTTACTTTTCTGATACTTTGTTTTCTTTAACCCTAGATTGTACTGAATTATAACTTATTCGGACAACAATCAGGCCAAAACGATGTCATATTTCCTCCCAGGGTTAAAGTTAAAATTAATGTTTTCACGCTCTTGGGTTGTTCCTCTATTAAGCTACCTTTTTCTACATTTACTTGTGTCCTCAGGCATCGACGAGTGCAGCACTGGAATCTATGTGTGTGACATAAATGCGAACTGTACTAACACTGACGACTCTTATATCTGCGCCTGCAAGGAAGGATACACTGGAGACGGGCATTCATGCCAGGGTATAATCATTGCATTTGACCTAACAAATAGCGGAATAAAGTTTCCCACAAATAAAAAAACTCTTTCCATTCAAACTTAGAAATCTGATGTTTTTCTCCCTGTCTAGTAATGTTTTGGCAATTCGTTTTTGTTCACAGATGTCAATGAGTGTAGCGATGGCAACCATGTTTGCGATGTTAATTCGAATTGTAACAACACAAATGGTTCTCATATTTGTACCTGCAAAGAAGGATACGCTGGAGATGGACAGTCATGTCAAGGTGAATACGAGTAACCCACACTGCTAAAAACAAACAGCTTTGCTCCTAAGCTATTGCCCATGAAAATTAGCCTACATGATGATAATAATATGAAACATAATGAATGCAACGATGATGTTTGTGATGCTAATACTAATTGTACCAACACTGTTAAGAATATATGAAAGTCATATATTTGAACTGCAGATAAAGACGTAAATGAAAGTGATCCTCGCAGTAATGTGCACTACTTAGGCAGTAGTGGAAATAAGGCCTAAAAAAAAATCAGGCCTGTACGGGATTTGAACACATGACCTCTGCGATACCGGTGCAGCGCTCTAACAACTAAGCTATCATGCCAACTGGGAGCCTGTCATGATGCTGGTTCTAAATAAACCCGTGAAGTGATGAATAAACGGTTATGAATATATGAAAGTCATATATTTGAACTGTGGATAAAGACGTGGATGAAAGTGATCCTCGCAGTAATGTGCACTACTTAGGCAGTAGTATAAATAAGGCCTGAAAAAAATTCAGGCCTGTACGGGATTTGAACCTCTGCGATACCGGTGCAGCGCTCTACCAACTGAGCTAACAAGCCAACTGGGAGTGAGTCATGATGTTGGTTCTAAATTTTTACCAACACTAATGGTTCACATAATTGCATCTGTTAGGAAAGATACATTAGAGATGTACAGTCTTGCAAATGTAGATTAGAACAGCGATACCTTATGTCGAGCAAAGCACCTTTCCATAACCAGAATTGTCTTCGTAACTGGGCTAACGATCAAGAGGCAACGCAGTGGTTTTCATACCCCGACCTCGTGTTTCTATTAAGTTACGGATATCATAATATGCATAGATACACAATTTTTGCTGGTTTAAAATATAATACGTGCAGATATTTTACGAGTGGCTAAAAGTGTTTCCGAGCCCAGAAGGAACGAGGATAAAAGAAGGCATGAGCATGAGATATATCATACCACCATTCCCTGGAATATTTTTCTCGAATATGCGGCGACGCTCGGATAACCACCCCCCCCAACCCTTCTCCTCCCTCAGTTTTTTAAATAGTATAGATACAAGGAAAATCTGTTTCTACTGCCACATTTTTTTATATAACTTTTCAACCTTTAACAACAGCGCAATCAGTACAGCAGAATAATTTTTTTTTTCCATACGAAAGTTTTCTATGTTCATGAGTTTGCACAGTTCCTTTATGTATTATCTATTATTTTGATTTTATTTCCTACTCCTAAGGTAATTTAAGAAGCGCCCCTCTCGACTAATCGATGACGTACCCCCCTACAAATAAGTGCCCCCCTCTCCCCCCCCCCCTCAGTATTAGCCGAAATTTTCAGTAAGCGCCTAAGCGCTCATTGAAAATGTCTAATATTTCAATTATTAAAGTATACACAATATCGCTTGAGGAACTAGACATGTATCTTGCGGAGTTTATTCACTCTTTTCGACTTAGAGACAGAGAAGATTATGAACCTTCAGGCTTAATATGCCTTGTTTCAAGTTCTGAGAGGTATTTTGATATTTTTTGCTTGCTTTCAGTATGTTGCATTATTTCTATCGAGAAGGGAAATTTATGTGGCTATTATCTTTCATGATCGATTTATAAACCATTGTCTGTTTTCTACTTTCATGTGCTTGCAGAGTTCCTTTATGTATTATCTATTCTTTTGATTTTTGTCCTATTGCTGAGATAACTTAAGAAGCGCCCCTTTCGACTAATCGACAAAGCGCCCACCCTACATATTAGTGCCCCCTCCCCCTCTCCCTCAAAGTTTTTGTCGAAACTTACAATAAGCGCCCAAGCACATATTGAAAATGTCTATCATTTCAATTATTGAAGTACACACAATATCGGCTGAGGAACTAAACGTGTATCTTGCGGAGTTTATTCACTGTTTTCAACTTAAAGACAGAGACGATTATGAACACTCAGGCTTAACATGCCTGGCTTCAAGTATCGAGAGGTATTTTGATATTTTTTGCCAGCTGATAGTATGTTGCATTATTTCTATCGAGAAGGGACGTTTGAATGGTTTAAATCTTTCATGATCGATTTATAAACCATTGTCTGTTTGACAGTTAAATGTTATAAAGGAGGAATTTACTCTCCTTACGTACATGTAAACTTTATAATAAACCTCATGCATCACGTAAAGACTGTCCTTACGGTACATAAACAATCGTTGCTGTATATAAAAAATCTTACTCGTTTCTTGCGCTCACTCCCTCGATTTCCGATACTACGAGTTCGTGCGTAAATACAATATAGACAGATTTTCTATGAAGTATTACATATCTATTTATATTCATATTTGTAATACTAGATATTGATGAGTGCCTCAATAGAAGCCATGCTTGTGACGTGACTGCGAATTGTACCAACACTGACGGCTCCCACATCTGCACCTGTAAGGAAGGATACACTGGGGACGGACACTCATGCCAAGGTATAATCATTACATAGGACTTTGCAAATACCAGAACGAAGTTTCCCACAAATAAAACAAAACTCTTTCTTTAAATACTCAGAAATTTGATGTTTGTCTCTGTCAATTAACGTTTCGGCAAATTCTTTTTGTTCTCAGATGTCAATGAGTGTAGCGATGGCAACCATGTTTGCCATGTCAATTCGAATTGTAACAACACAGATGGTTCTCACATTTGTACTAGCAAGGAAGGATACACTGGAGACGGACAGTCATGTCAAGGTGAATAAGAGTTGCCTACACTAATTAAAACAAGCAGCTTTGCACATAAACTATCGCCCATGGGAATTAGCACACACTTTAGAGGCCTGTTTTCACGCACCACTGTCATATTGCTATGGCGTTACCTCTTATACATCACTTATGCTTCTAGATATCGATGAATGCAGCAATGGAAGCCATGATTGTGAAGTGAATGCGAATTGTACCAACACTAATGGCTCCCATAGCTGTACCTGTAAGGAAGGATACACTGGAAAAGGAGAGTCATGCCAAGGTAAAATTAAATTAGACTTAGAAAAAAGCAGAATAGCCGTTCATCAGAAATAATTGCCTTGTTATCCGACAAACTGGCTAAGATTTTTTTCTCTATTCAGTTACCCTTTGCAAATCTATTATGTTCACAGATATTGATGAATGCAACGATAATAGTCATGTTTGTGATGCTAATGTTAACTGTACCAACACAAATGGTTTATATAACTGCATCTGTAAGAAAGGATACATTATAAATGGACAGTCTTGCCAACGTAGATTAGAAAAGCGATACTTCATGTCGAGCAAAGTAGCTTTTCATAATAAGTATTGTCTTCGTAACTGAGGTTATGATCAGGAAGCAACTTAATGATTTTCACGCCCCGACCTCGTATTTCTATTAAGTTACGGGTTTCATTATATGCATGCATTCACATTTTACCAAAATTTAAAATGTAATACGCGCAGATATTTTACGAGTTGCCTGGTATTTTTCCGAGCGCGAAAGGAACAAGGATAATTAAGAGCAATGAGCAAGATTTCCTCTCGTGTTATATGATAAACCATCGAATATGGGATTTATTATTAGTTCCTCACTTTTTTAAATAGTATAGATAGAAGGAAAATCTCTTTGAACAGCAACACTTTTTTTATAACTTTTCAACCTTCAACAACAGCGCAATCAGTACAGCAGAATAATTTTACTTTCAATTTCAGATTTTTTAAAATCTTCATGTGCTTTCAAAGTTCCTTTACGTATTATCTTTTATTTTGATTTTGATGTCCTATTGCTGAGATAACTTAAGGCGGGGTTTCACCTGAAAAAGTGACATTTTTGCATCACTTGTGACAGCTATGGTTTTCATCAAAATCATAGCACACTATACATCATTAGAAAACTATCGGCCTGAAGATTATGAAAATGTGTATTTGAATGCGGTATTTTTTTTTTGTAACCTGATACCAAGCCCCTTAAATAGCACATGCTGTGGCTGACCTGGACCTACTTGAGGAAAGATTTTTACATATAGTTTCACATGAAACATGTATTTTTATTATTTTTCTCAAGTAAACAGATTGCTTACTGGGATTAATGAAGGACTTTGAAAAATTTCAAAATGTGAAGCCTCAACACCCATTTAAAGTTGCGCAATCAAAATTAGGAAGCATTTCTTAAAATAACCTTTTTTCTAAACACTTATGACAAATTCCTTCATTCATCACAACTAACTCAGTGAGACCCAGCTAACCTGAAAATTTCAGGTCAATAGCTCAAATCCCTCTTGAGTTATCTCTTCTCAAAGGCAAAAATGCCGCATTTTGAGAAACGCAGCCTTAAACTTCAGAAATGGAATAATTTGGACGGGACTGCACAGGTGCTTGATGCGTTTCTTTTGTAACCATTCCCAACAGAAGGAAAAACACTATCATATTTTACCAACACAATCAATCCTTGTATAAAAAAGAGATGAATGTAGGCCTAAAGAAAATGGTGATAATGACACATTTGTATTCAATAAACATTCAAAAATCTCAACTGGCAAAGGGAGACTCGATGAAAGGGCTTACAGGACAGAACAACGTAGTTGAAATTGGGGGAACCGAGAAAAAGTCTGGTGAGTGGTAACATGAAGGGCTTCTCTCTAGAACCACAAGACAGAAAGACTAAGGTTCCCAAGCTTATGCGCGGCAAATTTTTCACAATTAATTTTTTTAATGCTTATGATTTTACAGATATTGACGAGTGTAAAGGAAGTCACTCTTGTCACGTGAATGCTACATGCACGAATACCCTTGGATCACATGTATGTCAATGTCACGCTGGATATACTGGAAATGGACAAAACTGCACAGGTGAATTTAATCTCTTCGCTACAATATGTAGAACAGTCCTTCATGACACGTTCGACTACAGTGCTACACCATTCAGCGTCGTTGCAAGATAATTAGACAACTTATTACTGAGAAATTCGGCCATTTTGTCCTCATTTAATATATAGTGAATAATACCCGGGTTCCCGCTGACTTGGAATTTCTCTTCGAGTGTTCAACTGGCTACATCATGAGTGAGAGCAGCAAACTAGTGAGGTATCGAGTAAGAGAATAATGAAAAGATTTAGCCAAGCCTAAAAGCGGTGATGTGATTACCTATACGAACACAATAGGCCTTTACTGAGAATAAAAAAGGCGACTTTTTGAAAAGAATAATATGATAGGTTTCACAATCCGCGAAAAAAAGTCTTAAAGCGCGTCGGCGATAAGGCTCAAGATGAAAAAATGCGTTGAACCGTTACAGAAACAGACATTGGGCGTAACTTTCTTTTCACAAAATTCTCAGTTGACTTTTTCCTTTCCAAAAGAAGATTATTTTTATGTACACGACAAAAATAGGCCTTACTAAGAAAAAATATATAATTTTTAAAGAATGACAGAAGTTTCACATTCCGCGAAAAAAAAAAGGAAGGAAGGAAAAAAGGAAAAAAGGAAGCCACCAAGGAAGGCTACCAAAGCTGATCTTTGACGACTGATATCCGACTAAAGTTTATAATAGTGTTTAGAGAGAGATTCCGCTGCGGTGGAAGTTTTTGTTTGGTCTAAATTAATAATTGATTTGTCACAATGATAAATAACTTAATCCTTTTTCACCTCATAAAAGTTTAAAAAACGAATGTATATCTCACTCGTGAAACCACTAATGTTGTATAATTTTTCTTTTCTCTCCAATTTTTTTAGATATTGATGAATGCCAAAAAAATACTCACGATTGTCACCTGAACGCTACTTGTCAAAACACAAATGGATCCTTTGTGTGCACCTGTTTATTTGGATTTAACGGAGATGGACGGAGCTGCACAGGTAATTGCCTCGCTATTACTTTGAGAAATGTTAGTTTGCTTTCGTCTGTATGTGTGTCTAATTTGTATGTTCCTTCTTAGTCGGCTGATTTGTTTGTTTTGATAAAGTAGTTACCCTTGCCTTAATATTTTTGACCAATGGTACAAAATGAAAATCCTTGATCCCACTTGAAAGCAAGGACAAAATGCTGAACATTTTCGTTGATCAGCTTCAGATCTATAGTAAATAGCGATCAACAACTCTCTAACGAAAACTATCGCACTCAATGTTCAAAATATAGATTTGATTTTTTGATTTTTTTTGTATCACATTTGTAGACTTGATGTGCATCGTTTTTGTTCTCCAGGAGAGAAAACAATCATCCCCTTATTTTCTCTAGTTGATGTATAATTGATCTTATAAATAGAATCCTTATGAGGCTGTGTCTCGAAAGGATTGAAAGCAATCCAACAGAATAATTTGATTGGTTAAAATCGATGTTGACCGCGGTTAAGATTTTCCCATTCGGACCTATTAAGGTGATTCCTCAGAAAAAAACAAAGTTATCCGACAATTTTTTCAGTCTTTCCTTAAATGTTCCTTGCCAATGTCTGTTTCGAAAAATATAACCAAAAAGATAGGTCACCTTGCTTGTTTGAGAGAAATGACGGGCCAAACTTACCCCACTTCTGCCTCTACGACCTCTACTAGTGCATTTTCACGCGCCTCATTTCACGGCACATTTTTCGATAGCTGGAAGCAATTATAGTTTTTAAAGTAAAAATTTAAAAAAATTGACAGGTACAAAGTCTCGAGCGAAGGGAAGAATTTAATATATAATTTGTGAAAAAAACCACGTAATTTTGAGACGTCGACTTGAAACGTTCCTCGACTCGTTGTTTTCCAGGTCATAATTTTCATCATAATTTTTTGTGCACGCTTTTAGCCATATCTTTTTTTGCCTTCGATGATTTTTTTTCATTCATCCAATATAAAAGGGATAAAATTTGTACACCAATATTATGCAATGAAAAATAGAGGTCACCGTGCTCAAGAGCTGAAGAGCATCGTAACTCTTTGCTTGGTCCATTTATTGAAAAGCAACACTGTGTGCTCGGAATACAAGCGCGCCCGATTACGTGATTTTTATGCTCAGTACAGGATGCCCAGTGCAATACTGAGGAATCACAAGATTCAGTTGTTTTGTTCATTTCAATAGTAATTAATGGAAGAATATTTTCCCAAAATTAGGAAGCAGGCAAAGAGAATAAGGGAAACGTAGGCAAATTTTAATCTAGCCGACGAAGCTACCAGCAAAGTATGAAGTCTGAATTGGAGACTTTTGTATGTAGAAATCCAACAACACTTAGTGCAAGACTAAGAGTGACTTAAACAGAAGGAAAAAGGTTTTGTCAGTTGTTGGAAAAGGCTCGAGCAAAACTGTACTAACCAGCAAAAATTGACAAGGGAAGATGAGCGATTCAACTTCCCCAGTTCTCAATCATGTTTAAGGGCTGTTAAATCGGGCAAGGTTTCGTCAATTTAAAAAAACCGATAAATAACAGTGAAATTCATTTTCAACTTCATTAAACTCCTCCTCTTGAAGTTCTTTCCTTAAGGTTTCATATATTTCAAACGCTTTCGGTATTTTCTGTAAAATTTACGATATTTCAAAGTTGAAATTGCCACAAGTTTCAACTTGAACTTTTTTAACGCGAATTTTGATTGGTTTATGTGTTGTCAGGCACACGATTTGATTGGCTATTAGGAAATACTATCCTCCAGCAGAGCGTGTATTGAGAATAAGATAAGATAATGATAATAGATAATGGGCGTAACTTTCTTTTCACAAAATTCTCAGTTGTTGACTTTTTCCTTATCGTCAAAAGAAATATTTTCATGTACACGGTCAAAATCGGCCTGTGGCAAATCTCTCAGTTGTCGATTTTCGTTTTCAGCCGCAAGAAATACCATTACTTAGGTCAAGTACGTAACTTTCGGTTTTTGTTTTCGTATTTTGCTTTACTTCCGCCTCTAGGAATTTTGAACGACACTGTCTGTTACGAGTACGATTTTTTCTGTGCTTTAAGCAGCCATTAATCTGATAAAATCTCGGCAAGCGACCCTGGATCGAGAACGGCCAACGCTTTTCCATTCATTTATTAACCTGACACAGCTGATTGGCGATGTCAAACACATGTAAAAAATTATCGTCATCTTAAGCGCGTGCTGTTACGAATTTTCTTAGGGCGGGAAATCCTTCTAAAACACAGCAGTTTGTATGATGATTTTTTTTCCTTAACCTTTCTTATAAAGAAAAATATATAAAACATTGCGTTAACCGAAATTCAACTTTTTAGCCGATCCGTGCCATAATTACAGAAACTTGAGCGATGCTGACAGAAAGAGCACTTACAACACACCCCACGGTGCAGAAAAATGTGACGACGATTCCTCATCCTTAATATTTGGGGAATGGTATCGTTTTGTGGGAGATGCAGGAACAAAAATGCCAACAAAGTGCGTAAAGGGTAATAGATGTAGTGCGGTCTTCTCAGGCTGACTAAAAGGTGGTCACCCCACATTGGCAGATGGTGAGGTTTTCTCCGAGGTCTGCTTCACCAGAGGTGGAGACTGTTGCCACAAATCAATTTATATTAAAGTGAAAGACTGCGGATCCTACTATATATACCAACTACAAAAGCCGCCTACATGTGCCTCGCGCTACTGCAGCACAGACTGAATGCTATGAGCAAGTCATTCTGCACAGTGAAAGGATTCACAAATCGATTTAGTGGCACGCACATGTACATCAATGATAACAAGGACTCAAAATATTTCATATGATCCACTTTTTATGATTAGTGTTAAACAGTGAGTAGTTTCAACACAAGAGTACCTTTGGACTGCTTAGTTTGATCTTCCAGGTAAGAGTGCTCCTGAGAAGTTGTGACTGCAAGTAATCAGTAATAGTGACTGACGTTTCTATAACCTTAGCGGAAATCATCATCAGAGTCGACTGAACAATAGTTGTTTATCCGAGTAATAGAACAGACACCCCCCCCCCGTCCCCCAGCTAATGTCAACAGCTATAGGCATTAGTAAGCTTCCAAATAATCATAATATCTCTACCTATTCCGATCGAGGTGCTTCACTATGTAAGTTTTAAGAACTCTTGATGTTTAATCAGGTCGTTAGAAACTAAAGCAGCTTAGGCGTGTTGTGAATAGAGACTGTAAATAATTTCTAGAATTGCATAATTGTTAGTCACTGTTACATTGATACTCAAACTTTCTGATGACGTAGTATGGAAAACTAGAACATTCTATTAGGCTATGTAATTATGATGTATTTCTACCACAATAGTTGTGTTGTAAGCTTCGAATTCCGGAATGTTTTGAAGTACTGACTGTAAATATATGAAAATCATGTATGCGCACTGTGGTGAAGAAACAAATATAAGAGATCCTCGCAGTTATGAACACTACTAAACTAGTACTTGAAATAAGACCTGAAAAAAATTCAGGCCCGTGCGGGATTTGAACCCATGACCTCTGCGATGCCGGCGCAGCGCTCTACCACCAACTGAGCCAACAGGCCAACTGGAAGCTGGTCATTATGTTGGATCTCTTATATTCGTTCTTCACCATAGTGCACATATATCATTTTCATATATTTGCAGTCATTATTCACCACTTGGAAGGTTTATTCGGATCCAACATAATAATCAGTATCTAGTTGGCTTGATAGCTCAGTTGTTAGAGTTCTGCACCGGTATCGTAAAGATCACAGGTTCAAATCCCGTAAGGGCCTGATTTTTTTTCAGGTTTATGTCAACTACTAGTTCAGTAGTGTTCATAGCTGAGAGGGTCGCTTATATTCGTTTTGAAATGCGTTGTGAATGTATATAAGGACTCATGAATAAAGGGGTAAGTTTCTAAAGAAACTGTGGTGCTGCGTCAGTGGGAGAGTATAGCAGGTAATTTAGTGTTAACAACTGGGTTGAAAACGTAAATTAGCCACCGTAAAGGGTAAAAAAGCTGACGTTTCGAGCGTTAGCCCTTCGTCGGAGCGATTGCTATTACAAGTTGTTTAATAAAATAGTTTAAAATTGTAGGAGTATAGTATTCCTTATTTTGATTAAATCATACCTTTACAGGTGAATCTTGTAGAAAAACGTGTTGCTAGTAGAAAATGCTGTATATGCTAGTAACTCTTCTACAAGCCATTCCAGCGAAAAACTAAACAACACCAGAAAGAGGCCCGGAATGACGACCAGTTAAAACCTAATTTAATAACCTTTTCAGGCTTAATTGCGTGTATGCAACCGGTAACAGAGAAGGTGTAATCTGTTATTCTGGTTGTTTTAGTTATAACTGACAATGAGCCTAAGACAAATAGCACGTCTAAGTAATCAGAGGTTTACTTCTCTTTGCTGTAATTTGGAAAATCTAAATTGACTTTCCCAAAGCCTAAACCTTCTTATCGCCTGCTATTCAAATTCTCTACATGTAAAAAGTTTAAGGTTACATGAGAAGAAAATGAATTATCACTTTCCAGATGTCAGTAAACAAAACCGATTCCACTTTATCTTTTTGTTGTCGTTAAAGGTACTATCGCTAGTGTTGTTGAAGTGCAAAGTTCATCGTATTCCTTCAAGTGAATAATCGATAATCTTCGGAAGGGTTTCCGAACTTTAGGAAGAGAGAGGTTGGTTTGTTGAGATATCTCTTTCCTTTAGTGAGACATAAATCGCCATCTGGTACCTTTTAAATATATTAATATTTTCTAGGTTTGATTGGACTCTCGATTCTTTAAATGAGCTTTCCTCTAAAATTTATGACGAAGAATTTCTGAGAGAAACAGGTTCGTTGATCAATTCTCCCTTTAGTAAATTATTTGATAGAAAAGATCTTTTCAAGAAATCCTACGGAACTGGTATCTCTGAGACAAAATTAAACGATACAATCGACTCGTTATCAACGTATCCCGGGCAGTAATAAACTATCAGACTTAA